CTGGACACCAGTGAAATAATTAACAGCTTGAAATTCTGTCTAGAAAGTAATTATTTTGCATTTAAAGGGAATTGATAAAGACAGACAAATGGTGTTGCTATGGGATCACCCGTTTCCACAATAGTCGCTCCCCTTTTCATGAATAGATTCGAAGATAACATCTCTTCAAGCACACTCACGCCTAAAATATGATGAAGATCTATAGATGATACTTTTGAAGTGCTAAAACGAGATCTACACAGTTCATTCTTGAAGAAACTAAACAGTCTATCTCTCCGAATCCAGTTTACTTCGGAAGCGGAATCAGACATCGGTGAACTACCATTTCTAGACTGCCTGGCTAGTTAAGAGAAGGGAAAACGGAGATTTTAGTATATCCATATTCAGGAAAAAACCTTCTCCAATAAATATTTAGACTTTGGATCATCACAACCCATCAGCGCAAAGGTATCAGTTGTTTCAAATCTTCTCAGATTAGCACCCTCTTTGATGGTAACGGATGAGAAGAAAAAGAAATATCACACATTACTGAGACTCTCAAGCAAAACAAATACCCAAAGAACTTCATCAACAAAATCAACACTGACATTAAGTATGGACCTCAAAAGTCATCATTCTGTATAGAGCAGAGATATCAGACGATATCAGAAGAGTACTCAATAAGCTCAACATTAGAGTTTTCTTCAAAACATCAGACTCACACACTGCGAAACAACCTTGTCCATATGAAAGACCAAATCCCTAAAGGCTCTCTATCTAATTGTGTCTAAAAAATAAAATGCTTAGAATTTGATGCGATATACGTCGGACAAACCTCACCAGAGGGAAATCAAAATCGGAAGAAATGAACACTGTAGATTGAGTGTCTGTTCGACCACCGAGAAATCTAGGTGAACTAAAAAAACTTGAAAAATCATCAGCCATAGATCTGTCTACACACCATAGAATCAGACCACAAAATTGATTTTGACAATATTGAAATCATCATCTAGAAAAAGCATTTCAGAAATCACAAAGAAGGTCTAATGTCATCAGAAGCACTTCACATCGAATAGAATCCAAATTGTCTGAATAGGAATTGTGGACAGAACGGAATCTGACCCCCCTCCCCCATGAAATGACAAAATCAACACGAATGTGAGAAGCAATATCATGTGTTGGGTGTAGATTTGACGAACCAGGCAGGATTCAATAATCTCTCTCTCCAACTACATAGATTACTCCTTAGAATATTAACCCTCTCACACCATGCTATTGTGTGGTTGTGTGTTAATGCATTCAGTGCAATGCAGTGCTGAGCTTTTTTCTAAATTACTTATCTTCTCTGGGTCAACCATTCTTACCTTAGCTAAATTCTTATGTTGTGACAGGCAGTCTGACTACCCCTGACCCACTAGTTTGACCAATGTAGTTGACCTCACTGACAGTCATTGCAAGGTATTTTGTAAATTATATCATTTTCTTTTAATTGGGTCCACAGTCTTACCACATAAGGAAAGGATATCTGAGGCCCTACGTAGGATTCTCAATAAAGCAGGAATTAGGATGGCATTCAAACCTAGGAACTCACTCATATGAGACAAGCTGTGTAGGCCAAAGGACCAATTAAACAAAATAATATAATTTAAAAAATACCTTGCAATGACTGTGAAGTCAATTAAATAGATCAGACTAGTAGGTCGGGGGGAGCTAGACTGCCTGTCAGAACATAAGAATTTAGCTAAGGGAAGAATGGGTGACCCTGAAAAGATAAGTAATTTAGAAAAAAGCTCAGCAGTTGCACTTCACGCATTAAAAAACAACCACACAATAGCATGGTGGGACAGGGTTAAAATTCTAAAGAGTAACATAGGTAGGTAAAAAGAGAGATTGATTACTGAATCCTTCCTGGTTCATCATCATGTCTACACCCAACACATGCAACAGAAATGACTCAATGCAAATACCACAGATATGGAAGATATTATTACCACCAGTCAGTCAAATCAGAGAAGGATAATAAATAATCTCAAATTGTATTCTATTTCAATTCAATTCACGTACATCATAACATTCTAACAAGTTACTTATTTTGACCATAAAACCACTCGTCTTATTTCCCATCTGATTGTATTTGATTGATAACACTCATATTATTATTATTTCTGAATGTACACTATCCTATAGTGATCTTTATTCAAATGTCTAATCATGAATTTCACTCATGTATATAAATGAAGCAAGAGAATTGTGTGAGTGAGCACCTTGATATGATTATGAGTGGCAGTAATAATTTGTGCTCGAAATGTGGTCATCAGCAGTAAATATCACTGTATAACACTACACTGTGAGACTTTATCAAAATAAAATTCCACTGATACTTCCCATCATGAAAACAATATCTCTAAGATAGATACAGTAACAATTTCATTCAACATACTGTTTAATAAAGTGATGAAAACAAACTTACCAGGATTTCGTTTATAAGCGGGAAATAGAATTTCTTGAGATCTTTTCATCATCAATAGATGAGAAGAAATGAAATCAGTTATCATATATATATATATATCCAATATTTTAATAGAAAAGAGATACTGATAGAATGCTTTATGAGTCTTCCAGTTGAATTGACTAACAGTGACCAAGAGACCAAGATTCTACTGTGTATTTATCTACTATTGCAAAGAATATTTTACAATTAATCGTTTTATTTGTAATCTTCTAAGGTGTGACTTGAATGACCTGAAGCATACATAGATCCTCATTGTTTATTTGTAAAGAAAGGTATCAGGTGTGTTTGTGTGTGTGTCTGCGTGTGCGTGTGTGTGTGTGTGGAACAGAGTCACACTGAATAATCTGAGAGCAAAAAGAAATTTAAACAATGAATAGCGCCATCTGCAAATACTTAATTTCCTTTTGTTAATCATTTTACCACGCTAATAACAATTGATATTTTGATAACTATTGGAATAAATAACTTAAACAAAAGTTGTAAAGACTCTTTGGAGTAATTAATTCCTGTACCAATAAGTTAGTTAGTTAGTTAGTTAGTTAGTTAGTTAGTTAGTTAGTTAGTTAGTTAGTTAGTTAGTTAGTTAGTTAGTTAGTTAGTTAGTTAGTTAGTTAGTTAGTTAGTTAGTTAGTTAGTTAGTTAGTTAGTTAGTTAGTTAGTTAGTTAGTTAGTTAGTTAGTTAGTTAGTTAGTTAGTTAGTTAGTTAGTTAGTTAGTTAGTTAGTTAGTTAGTTAGTTAGTTAGTTAGTTAGTTAGTTAGTTAGTTAGTTAGTTAGTTAGTTAGTTAGTTAGTTAGTTAGTTAGTTAGTTAGTTAGTTAGTTAGTTAGTTAGTTAGTTAGTTAGTTAGTTAGTTAGTTAGTTAGTTAGTTAGTTAGTTAGTTAGTTAGTTAGTTAGTTAGTTAGTTAGTTAGTTACTCTTTTGGCATTATACTTTATTTTGTTTCCACTCTTCAGTCGGAACCAATATGGGAGAGTTCTGTTCTGCTTGAGCTTCTTACCAAGCTTGGTTTTGAACCTTAATGTCTTGTGAGACCCCATGCCCAGGATTCTGTCGGTCTGGTTTAAACTTTGCACTGATGTGCTGAAGTTCAAGTCTCCACACTCGTTGGTTTTTAACATCCCGTTGACTCCGACCAGTCAGGAAGTCTACACCTCCCTACGTGGCTGGCTGGCTAGCTTAAACTGACTGTTTTGGATTCCATTGACTGACGAAGGCATGTTTGGGTTTGACCACCACTGGCTACCTCTTTTCTAACCTGATCCATCCTATGTCAGCTAACATTTCCCGTGGAGGAAAGCGATGGCTAGGCTGGGCATACGTAACACATGTCCTAACCATCTCAATCTATGCAGCTGCTTCACAACCTCGTCTATTAATTTCCTCTCTTTACCTAGGACTCGACCGATGCCTAACCTCAATATTGCTCACCCTATTATACCACTTAACACAAACGGTAGATAGAACGCAAGCACCTATGATCAAAGGCAGCTGGCCAGGCTTTTCATGTCTTCCACTCTCAATAGCCATGTCCAGCTCACAGCCATAGAGGAGGACAGAGTTGATTGCTGAGCAGTACACACGCCCTTTGGTTGATAGCCTGCTGGATATCACGTCTACGCCAGAGACGGCATAAACTGGCATATGCGAAACTAGCCTTCTGTATCCGTGCTGAGATTTCGTCAGTGATCAACCTGTTGGCACTGGCTGATGCAGCTTCCTAAATAAGTGAAGAGGTCAACATGCTCTAGCACTTCACTCCCTATTTCTAAGCTACGAGTGAGTCAGTGTAGTCCAGTCCTGTACCATCATCTTAGATTTGGAGGGAGCGAATCGCATGCCAAACATTCGCAGATTGCAACTCCAAGGTGCTCAGTAGAATGAAACTTGTGCACTGAGGTAGAGTGTAATTCCATTATTGGTAAATTTTATTTTGATAAAGTCACACAGTGTTATACAGTAAACATTACTGTACTGGTACTCAAACGAATCAGTCAGCGGTTAACAAACATGTTAATATAGACCAAATCTACCAACTATTAAAAAGTAAATCATTCGACGAGAAAGCTTAAAACCCAAGTCAATAAAAATGACCATTGCGGGTGTAAATCAACTACCAGTCACGAAGATGATTGTTAGGAAACACAATTCTATCATTCATGGAGAATTTTATGCTAAGACTTGGACGGAAGAGAAATGTTCTCCAGAGAACACAACTAATTGCAAAACAGTTGAAGAGTCTCATGTCAGGACGAAACAGTAGTATTCAGTACTCCCTAGTTTAAAAAATGGTTCTTTAGTTGACGTCAGTCATTTTGAGATTTAGCTTCAAATCAATAGTTGAAATCTGATCAAATCTTCTTTTGTTTTACTTGATGAGCAGATTTATCTACTTGAACTTTGTTCATTATCTTATTTACAAGTCAGCATATCGATGCGAAGAAGATATTTAAATTAAAAAAATCTAAATATGTGACTGTTTGGTGATTTTTTTTGTTTTTAAAAAAAGAATTTTTATTTTAGTTGTTTCAATCAAATAAACAGAGTAAAGGTGAAAGAAGTCGTTTAATCTACTTGAACATTGAACGAATTTCAAGTTATAAGTACGCGCCGTTTAAATGTACACACTTAACGAGTTAGTATTCAAACAAAAAGAATACGCTATGAAATCATTATGGTTATTACCGATGATTATATTGTTCGGTAAGAATATTTTGTTAATGTGTCATTAATCCCTATGGAATAAAAAATATAGCCTTGTTTATGAGTGACGTAACAGTCAGCTCTTCGATACAACATTTACAACATCACAAAGTAAGTAGAACAAAAAGAAAAAGAGGTGACAAGTATGTTTAACAAAGTTTTCCTTTTTTTCTCTTCGTTGTATTAATTCACAAGATTAGATGTATTGTTAAGACGCTGTCCTTTCTCCTTTTCTGTTTTCTTTCTTCTTGCATGACTTGCCTCACTCCGATGACGAAATGAACTTTGTTAAGTATGCCGATGATCTAACTATTTCAATGTCTGTTAACTCTCAGCTTGACTGCACTAAGATAAACAACTTTCTATCAGGAATCTTCAGCAAATGGTCTTCGTCTAACGGCCTTAAACTTAATCCTTCCAAATGTCAGACTGTCAATTTCAGTTTCCGATGTAAACGAAAGTTAAATGATGAAGCCGCTGGTTCCTATGACCCTTGCAAAATCGATGATACTGATATAGAAAGCAAGTCTGAAGTAAAGTTTCTTGGATTAATTCTCTCTTCTGATCTATCCTGGTCCTCTCATGTCTTAGCGATTTCTAAAAGAATATTTCGTTTGACTTTTTACATTAAGAAGTTAAGGCTCTCAGGCATAACTCAACCACTCCGCTTACAGTTTATCAACTCGTGTATTTTACCTATTCTTCTTTACTGTTCACCCTTGCTTATTCTTTCCTGGATTGCTTAAAAAAGACTATGTCATACTTCGTAGAACTCTGAAGACTGTCAGCAGGACGAGTGGTATCTCATTGGGACATATCGTTGACATTGTCACTGATAGGCATTTGATGTCATGCAACAAATTCGCTAAAGGAATTTTGTCAGACTCTGAGCACCCACTCTACCAGCAGCTCCAACCTTGTGTCTCCTCAGGTAAAACAAGAAGTCTTTTCAGAAGACTTTGTGGACGTACGGCTAAGTATAAAAATTCCACTATACCATATTTGGCGGCACGTACTTTATGTGATGAAAATAGTGTCAGATATGAACTAACTAACCTTCTTAGCTCCACTAAATAGACCATTTCATCCACCCTTATAACATTAACCTTTATTGTTATTGTACTTCTTATATTTATAATCCTCTCAAGCTTTTGTTTTTGATTGTTTATTTCTTTTCATAAGTGTCAACATCATTTAAGCTGTGTTATGACTGTTAATTTTGTATTTCCCCTCATTAGACTATACTAACAGAACATTAGACCCAATAATCTGTAACATGCTAAAGTTTCCAAACTGAATTGACAATACCGTTTGAAACAAACTCACTGTTATTATTATTGTTATTATATCCAATAATTATTTCGTAAATGTGGACAAATTCCTCCGATTAATTTTGTTTTAATTTTTAATTTTATATATATTTTGGGTAAATCAGATGCAAGGTGTTGTGAAAAATGCTGAGAATTCCATTCTGTGTTATAAGTACTGTCTGTTTTGGAATAAAGTAGATTATTATTAGTAGTAGTAAGGCTGCCAAACAGTTTGATTAATCTTACTGATTTAGTTCCCACTCCTTAGTTATGCCGTCACTTGGTTGATGAAATCCACTACTACAGAAGTCTTGTTTTTCCAAAAACCGATCAATATATATCAAGTCATGGTTGAGCAACTGAAAGAAACTCATGGAATTATATACTTTCTGCCTGCTGATATTGATCAGTTAAGCGTTTATCCGACCTTAAGAGATTTTTACACTGCCTGAGAGAGACAGAGAGGAGTCAAAGAAGTTTACTACTCACCTAATCTGTTCCTTATCATTCTCATTGTTGACTTTCCAAACCTCTATGGATTACCCAAAATTCATAAGGTTGATAATCCATTACTTCCAATTCTTTCAATGTGTAACTCTCCTACACATAAATTAACAAAATGGTTAGCTGATATTTTAAGTCCAGTACGCAATGAATTATGTAAGTGTACTTTAAAAGATACATTTGAACTTGTTGACTGTCTTGTAGATATGAACATAAAAGATAGGAAAATGTATTCATTTGATGTGAATTCTTTGTTTACTAATGTACCATTGATTAAGACTGTTGATATTCTTTTTGATTATATATCTTCTAGTTGTTTTTCATTTCCTTTTCCTTTAATTTATTTGAAAGATTTATTACTATTATGTACTGACAACGTCCATTTCACTTTTGAAGTTGAGCCGTTTCGACAGGTGGATGGTGTTGCCATGGGGAGTCCATTAGGACCTTTGTTAGCGGACGTTTACATGTCTTATGTTGAAAACTTATCCTCTGATTTAATTTCTAAATTGCCTTTCTATAAGAGATATGTAGATGATATCATTTTGATATGTGACGATCATGAAGATGCGAGTCGTCTATTGGACAGACTTAACTCTGTACAGAATCATATTAGTCTTACATGCGAGGAAGAAAGTCGCAACCACCTCGCATTTTTAGACATACTTCTGAGTCGAAGAGACGATGGCTCAATAAGACGGTCTATCTACAGAAAGCCCACTTGGACAGGGCAATACCTTAATTTTCACAGCTTCTGTCCATTACAATATATGAGAGGCTTGGTGAAGTGTCTATTTTTGAGGATTCAGCGTATTTGCACGGCTGATGTTATAGACAAAGAAAACGAAATATTGATGGATACTCTTGTTAAAAACGGATATCCTTTGAATTTTTTGAACAGGTGTAGAAGTCAAGTAGCCTCTAAATCTACAATCCATACCGTCGCAAAGAAAAAGGTTTTCATTAAATTACCATATAATGGGGAAATAAATAGTAGGATTTTGAGACAAAGGTTGAATTCCACCATCCGTAGAACCTACTATGCAGCCCAGCTTGTAATTGGGGAAAAAGCCAATAGATGCAGGTGTCAGACTACCAACTTCGTCTATAGCTAAACATTTAATCGAGATGAACCATTAGGTTGATGTTTACTCAGCCTCTGAAGTCATCTATAAAAACGGTCAAGGACGTTTACTGAAATACGCTGAGGCTATAGCCATTCATAAACTTAAGCCCCCCGTGTGTATTCAAAAACAGTTTGTTATTACTCTTAACCTACCTTGGTAATCTTTATTTGATGATTGGATTACCAAATGTTTTGTGTTAATCATTCTTAATTCTTTTGTTTTTTGTCACTTTGTATAATTTAACTTTTCCATATATATTGACTTGACAAGTAAATTTGTGATCAGATTATCCGAAATGTGTAGCGCTAATACATCACATTGCTTTTCAGATAATCTCCGTCTTCTAATAATGCTATCAAAATTTATAAAAGGGATTAACTGTCTTAAATTCTGTGTTGACGAATAATTAAAGTTCCGGTGTTGATTTGCAGGAATTTGATTGGTTACAGGTTCGATCATGAGCTGATATCGGTTAAAGAACCAATGGAAAACCATGGTGTGCTGAACAGCTGTTTCGTCTTAGTTTTGGACTCTTTAGCAATATTTACCCATCGGGAGTCTTAGTGAGCAGTCCTATCTAGCAGAGTGTCCGCTCACTCAGGCAAAAGAATAGTTACTTGCCAACGACACTGGCTGGTGGTTTCGCCCCTGGTATATATCAAGGAGGAGATGAAACAGTATGGAATAACATGGACGCAAGTGAAAAGAACAGCAGAAGACAGAAGCAAGTGGAGACGTGCAGTTGAAGCCCTATGTTCCACTAGGAACCCAAGGGAACAATAATAATAATAATATAACATATCAAGCGAATTAGCAGAAGTCGAGATTCATGGGCCACTGGATTGGGTGTTTATGAGCGAATGGTCCACGAGCTCACCTCTTAACCGGATTGTCATGGGGTTCGAACCCCAGTCTGAAGTGTTCCTCGTTGACTGATTTATATTGATCTCTGTTGATGTGTTGATTACTAGTACAGATCTTTCGACGCCAGTGGATCACTCTTGAACTCTGGAAACAATAGGTACTGAGGTTGGGTTTCAGTAAGAATACTGTCACTAATCGGGGATGTCGGTATACCCAGCTGCCAAATCCAAAATAGGTGAAATATACCTTGTGTATTTCATTGATAGTTATTATCAACTAAATAATATTTAGTTTAGATTACATAGAAATTTACTTTCAAAGTTTTTGTTTGTTTCTATCAGTTTTTATTTTCTAAATCTAATCAATACTAACCCATCTCTTTCTCTCTCAGAAACATGAACATAGAAATGGTACTCAACCAAATGTGTTCCGTAAGTACACTCAATAAATCGATAGAAATTTACTGTTTATTAAATGTTTTATGAATATACATATTTATATTTCAAATATTGGATTTGTAGGGATTTTGTTTGATTGCATGGAGGATTTCATCATGAGCTGACATCAGTTAGAGAATCAGTGGAATACCTGGGAGTACTGGACAGTTGTTTCGTCTTAGCTCGGGACTCTTCTTCAGTACGAAGCCACCGGGGTTTGAACCCAGGACCTTCTGGTTACAAGGCTAGCGAGGTGGTAGACAATTGAGCCACTGGGCCCTACTCAGGCAGTTAATCTGGGGTCCTAGTGAGAAGCCGTGACCAGTAGGATACAGCAGGTTGAAGATGAGGCAGTAACTCATCGAAGGAGACATTGTGAAATGGTCGCACTATGTCGTGAATTGGCAGAAGTTAGAATTCAAGAACCATTGGATCGGGTCTCAATATTTATATATATATTTCAAGAGTTGGTTTGTAAGGATTAGATTTGTTTTTACCAGTTTGAACAGTGAGAACATCCAGGAAGGAGTACTGAACAGCTGTTTCATCCAAATTAGTTTGGGAATTATCAGCAGAACACACCCACTACCAAGGTTCGGACCCAGGATGAGTCCGATGATTCCCAAACTAAGCTGATGAAACAGCTGTCCAGTACTCCATTGCTGGCTTTCAATGGTTCTCTAACTGATATCAATCCGTGGTCAAACTCGTAAACAAACATATATGTATATATATACGTTAATTTGGTGGTTCAAAGGTATAATCCTAACCAACCACTCAGATGGTCCAGGGATAGATCTTTGACTGACACACTGCTAAATCTTGCTTAGCTGGTAGTAAGACTGCTAAAGTAAGAAGGTTGGGTGTGAGGCTAGCGAGCCCATCCCGTGAATACTTAGCACTACTACTAATGAACCTTCAAAGCTCAAAGTTTAAAACCGTGTCTTCTACTCAAAGGGTGAGGGGATAAAATAACATGTAGGGTACATTTCTATTCGTCATTTTTAATCTATAATAGAGGCCTATTAGTTTTTTTCCATTGCTTTGCTTTCCAAATGTAACATAGGCTTTAGCATTCCTAAAGTTTTTGCTTCGTCGCCTGTTTGGAGGAGGTGATGTAATATATAGCTGTTGATGGTTTTATCAACTTTGGCTAGATCAAAGTGGTTTGTCCGTCTGATTTCAACATAGAACTTTGTACCGATATGCAGCGGTTCAAGTCACCACAATCCCTCCTTGTAGCACACAAAGCAAGAGTAGAAAGTAGAGGAAATGCAAAATAGGGACAGTAGACAGGGATATGAGGCGAAAGACATTTATCCCAATTCCAAAACTCTCCAACGTCACACACTAGAAACCTTATTGATTCTATTAGCTCGCGTATATTCGAGTTACAGAGAAATATATCACAGAGTTTCTTCTACCCTTTCCGAACTATCATCAAGTGAGAGGGAATCGTTTAATGAATATGTCATCTTGGTGGTTACCTTGAACCAAAGCCTCAAATCTGTCGAAGTACAGAGGAAGTTCCCAATTGATCCCAATAAATTTGTTTTCAATCACTCCTCCGTCAGTGTGTCTACGTTACAACTAGAAGCCTCATATTTAGGGTTGAAATTTTGTGACGTGAATCTATACAGTAACAGACTGCACATGTATGTCCAATTTGAAAATCCTATTAGTCAAACAAGCGACATTACTCCTGTTTCTGATGCAGATTTCTTACATTTCAAGTCTACAATTTCTGACTGCTGCAATCAATAAATACCTCAACACAAAAGGAATAATAGTAAAGAAGAACAATATAGTTTCATTGGAAATTATCAGTCACAAGGAGTGGATGCATCTGCGCGCCAGCCATTGGCAATGACGATTTTGAGCCATATCACCAGTTGTCTCCAGCTATTGGTGTCTACCGTCCCGAGGACCCTAACCAGTCAGGAAGTCTACACCTCCCTACGTGGCTGGCTGGCTGGCTTAAACTGATTGTTGTGGATTTCATTGACCGACGAAGCCATGTTTTGTTTTGACAACTACTACCTAACTCTTTTCCAACCTGATTCATCCTATGTCAGTCAGCTAACATTGCCCATCGAGGAAGACGATGGCTAGGCTAGGCATGCGTAACACATGTCCCAACCATCGCAATCTATGCATCTGCTTCACAGCCTCGTCTATTGATTTCCTCTCTTTACCTAGGACTCGACCGAAGGCTAACCTCAATACTGTCCACCCTATTATGCCACTTAATGCACACGGGAGATAGAACGCAAGCACCTTTGATCAAAGACAGCTAGCCAGGCTTTTCATGTCTAGCTCACAGCCAAAGAGGAAGACAGAGCGGACTGCTGAGCAATACACACACCATTTGGTCGATAGCCTGCTGGATAACACGTCTACGCCAGAGATGGCATAAACTGGCATATGCGAAACTAGCCTTCTGTATTCTTGCAGAGATTTCATCGACGATCAACCCGTTGGCACTGACTGATGCAACTTCCCAAATAAGTGAAGTGGTCAACGTGCTCTAGCACTTCACTCCCTATTTCTAAGCTAGGAGTGAGTCAGTGTAGTCCAGTCCTGTAACATCATCTTACATTTGGAGGGAGCGAATCGCATGCCAAACACTCGCAGATTGCAACTCAAGGTCTTCAGAAGACTCCGGATTATTTTAGGAGGGGGGACCATATCATTTGCATATTCTACGTCAACGAGATTATTCCATGGTGGCAGCAAGTCAATCCCTGAGTCGCTGAAGTCAGTATTATTATTATTACTGATTCTTTTATTCCTACAGGAACATAGGGCTTCAGCCCTGCGTCTCTATCCATTGCGTTCGGTTCTCTGCTAGAGTCTTCACCTGGCTCCAAGTCTGCCCACACGTCTCCTCAGCATCTCCTCTTCACATGACCTCCTCCTCCAAGTCACCCTTGCACTGACGACCAACTCGCCGCTTCCCTTTCGGGTTCCACTCGAGCAATGGCTTGTCTAGTGATGTCACTTGATGGTTTCCTCAGAGTATGGCTAGCCAATCCATCTCCATTTCTTCCTGCATGCCTATTTGTTTCACAATCGGTTCCTGGTTAAAATTCGCTCCCAGAGATCCCTGTTCCTGATCTTTTCTGGCCAGCCATCTGATCTTGAGTATTGAGCGAAAACAACTGTTGATGAAGGTCTGTAGTTTGTTTGAGATGCTCTTTATGACGCGCCAAGTCTCTGATCCGTATAGTAGCACTGACTGACTTCACATTGGAGTTGAAAATCCGGATCTTATTTTTGATGCTGAGTAGTGCTGTTGACATCCACACAGACTTGAGAGTAGTGAAAGCTTGTCTTGCTTTTCCGATCCTTGCTTTGATATCCTCGTCAGTTCCGTCCGCCTGTAGTTGAAACGATGCTTCCCAGATAGGTAGGTGGGTAAAGGAGGTTGTTTCCTTCAGGTTCCTCCCATTTATTCTGATTGTTATCTGTTGTTGTGGTTGTCGTTGCTGTTGGCCAGAAATCTTCATCACCTCTGTTTTCTCTATATTCACCTGAAGAATGTCCTATCTTTGATGCTTCTTTTTCCAACTTGTTTCTTTTCACTTGCATATCTTCCAGTTTGTGGGAAATCAGACATATAGCTAGTTCACTTAAAAAGAAATCCACAGAAACGGAATCCAATGGTCTAAAATCTAAGAAATCAACTTCAGTCTTTCCAATCCCTGTGATTTAAATGGTTTACACATACTTCCTCTAGAAACTATTATTAGCCCTTAAGTTTAGTGATTTGCTGTGAATAACCACATCTCATGTATTACCAGAGTTATTTCATAAACCATAAAGTCTAATATTCATATACTAATGATGGATACGGTTCACATTTAGCGCCAAACGAATTCTAGACATTAAACTGTCGTTAAACGGTCGATAGATTCTATTGATTTTTAGGTGCTGTTTTGGAGAGGTTTGATTGGTTGAAGGTTTGATCACGAGCTGACGTCGGTTAGAAAACCGTTAGGAAACCAAGTAGAACTGGGTGGCTGTTTCGTCCTAGTTTGGGATGTTTTACATCAGTACGCATCCCCTGGGGTTCGAACCCCAGGACCTTCCAGTTACAAGGTGAGCTTGTAGACCATTCAGCCACTGGGACCCGATCCAATGGCCAGACCATGAATTCTAGGTTCTGCCAATTTGCGATAAATACGGTGCAACCACCTGCTAATATGGTAGGCGCGTAACTGACCTCTTACCTGACTTGATGGACCCCGCTGGTTAAGACTTCTCACTAGAAATCCAAGTGTGTGCGTAATACTGAAGAGTCGCCAGCTAGGACGAAACAGCTTCCAGTACTGTCAGATTTTGAAATTACTTCATAGCCAAAATAGTCATTGAAGTGAATTACTCTCCTCCATCTCCTTTTACATCCACAACAATGCAACCAAAGAAAAAATTATTGATCTGAATGTTTTTCTGTCCTATTTTAGAATGTATTTCATGCAAAACTGGTACTCAGCAAGTTTTAAATATTATTTTAAGTTCAAATACATGGTATACGGTAAATGTGAAAATTAGAATGCTCTGTTTTAAGACTGGACCATTTTACAATTCAGTAAGTGATTATATAATATCTTCTTTGATTTCTTACTAACCATTTGTCTACTCATATACACACACACATGTATAATAGACACAATTTGTTGATATAAGAATAAAACTTGGACACTGTGGTAGAGTGTAATTCCATTATGGGTAAATTTTATTTTGAAAGAGTCTCACAGTGTTATACAGTAATATTTACTGATGACGTTTCGAGCACAATTTATTGCTGCTCATAATCATATCAAGGTAATCACACGACTTCCTAAATTCATTTATATAGTTCCGTTGTTTTTCACTTGATTTGATTGGTAGTATTATTTTCCATATTTCGGGTATGAGTGATGATTCATTCCTATTGCACGTGTTGGGTGTAGATTCGATGAACAAGGATTCAGTAATCAACCTCTCTCGCGCTCCACCTACCTAGATTACTTTTTAGAATTTTAACCCTCTCCCACCCTATTGTGTGGTTGTGTGTTAATGCATGCAGTGCAATGCAGTGCTGAGCTTTTTTCTAAATTACTTATCTTCTCGGGGTCAACCATTCTTACCTTAGCTAAATTCTTATGTTCTGACAGGCGTCTGACTACCCCCGACCTACTAGTTTGACCTATGTAGTTGACCTCACTGACAGTCATTGCAGGGTATTTTGTAAATTATATTATTTTGTTTAATTGGGTCAACCCACGGGGTCCTTTAACCTACAGAGCTTGTCCCTGTCTGAGTGAGTTTGTAGGTTTGAATTCCACCCTAATTCCTGCTTTATTAAGAATCCTACGTAGGGTCTCAGATGTCCCCTCCTTATATGGTATAACAGTAGATGACTTATATTCTCTCTTATTTATGTTATTATTACTAGTTTCACAATTATTTTTACTTTTATTTTGTTTTTGGCCTTTAGTGATCTTCCTAATGAATTTTATAGGTTAGTTATTCAACACCAACGCCTCTTCTATCTGTTTTATTTCATCATTTAGGTCTTTTTTTGTGCTACTTAGTGCCATTGCTCGGTTTGTTAAACACTTAACTAAGCCTGCCTTAACAGTTAAAGGATGAGATGAATTGAAATCTAAATATCTATTAGAATGCGTTGGTTTTCTATAAACACTAGTGTGTAGTTTGCCTTCTTCTATTCGTTTTATTTTACAATCTAACATCATGGCTAATTCTCCTTGTTCATTTTCGGCTTCAAATGTGAATTTTATTCCCTCCACTAGTGAGTTTATGTGTGTCAAGAAGCTAGAGATATGTTCTGTTTTTAACACTGTGAGTGGAAGTGTCATCCACATATCTCCACCATATTTTTGGAGTAGGATTAAAAGTATTAAGTGCCATATTTTCCCAGCTAAAGTAAGGATGGTTGACCTAGAGAAGATAAGTAATTTAGAAAAAAGCTCAGCAATGCATTGCACTGCATGCATTAACACACAACCACACAATACGGTGGGAGAGGGTTAAAATTCTAAAAAGTAATCTAGGTAGGTGGAGCGCGAGAGAGGTTGATTACTGAATCCTTGTTCATCGAATCTACACCCAACACATGCAATAGGAATGAATCATCACTCATACCCGAAATATGGAAAATAATACTACCAATCAAATCAAGTGAAAAACAATGGAACTATATAAATGAATTTAGGAAGTCGTGTGATTACCTTGATATGATTATGAGCAGCAATAAATTGTGCTCGAAACGTGGTCATCAGTAAACATTACTGTATACAACACTGTGAGACTCTATCAAAATAAAATTTACCCATAATGAAATAGACACAATTTGTATACTAGTTCTTGTGGAAAGAACCCAGTGAACATAAGACCCTGGGGGAATAAGGTGAATATCCTCCAAAAGAGCCTGAATGAAATGTATGCACTTTTGATGATGATGTCATGATAGCTAAACTATCAGTGTGTTCGTCGTTGTCGTTCAGATAACTGGAGGACATTACCGACTCTTCAGCTGACAGTTTTGGGTAATCCACTTCTGTCCCATCTACCCTCAGAAATTGCTAGCATAACTACATGTCATAGCTTCCAGATTCTTTTGCAATCTCAAAAGTCCTGTCCACTTTGGACATGGTGTAGACATATCATGTCCCCCTTTTTTGATGTGGTTGTGTTCTCTGAGCTAGCTGGATAGTTTATTTGCGAAGCTTTCATTGCCCCCAACACTAGGCAACATCTTCAGCGCATACTTCAATTTGATGTAATGAGCTTTCAGATTTCTCCACGAGTTTATTAGTCATCTCTCCTGGTAATAACCTTGAACATGACTGGTTGATATTGTGTGTTTTGTGTGTGTGTTTTCACACCCTCTAGACTACTTGTATTGGTATTGGTGCTGATTGTTGCCTTGACCTGAAATTTGATCCTTTGTGTGTGAGATTTCCTTCTTATCCATCGGTAAATTTTGTCTATCTCGATGTGTCCATTGATCGACAATTCACTGGAATACCAGGTGGGCTTCTAAAAATTCTCTGGCTAGCATTCTTGGTGTTTCCTCTGTCTAATATTTGAACGTTGGTTGTCCCAGTCGAATTGATGTCCGTGGTTGTCTGTATGTAGCGAGTGATATGAGGAAGTGGATATCATGTCTTTTGACGGCTAGTTTATGTTCATGGATACGAAGACGAAGAGCAGGGACGTCCACTTTGGCCAATGTAGTGTTTTTCGCGGTTGCTACAATTTATTTTGTAGATGATGTTGGTTTTATCTTCTTTCGTTGTTGAGTCTTTTGTTTGACACAAAGCCAGCTGAGTGAAGTGAATTTGTTGGTTTGTGTGCGACATCAATTCCTAAAGGTTTGAAGAGTCTTGCGGTGATTTGTGAGCTGTCCTTTATATACAGTATGGCGATTTTCTTTGTGCTTTCCTTGGGGGGCTTTGATTTAGTAGGTTGGTTGCTTGGGGGTAGATGTCTTTTGTATACAATTCCTTTTTTGTGTTATTGGATTGCAGCTGTTGTAATTCAGTATTTGGTCAACTGTGTGAGTTGATTTTCTATAAACTCGAGTTTCTAATTTCCCTGTGGTTGTTCGCTTGACTAAGACGTCCAAAATACGATTTCTTTCTCAGATTCCTCTTCTTTTGTGAATTTGATGTCTCTGAAGACGTTGTTTATTAAGTTGTGAGTTTTATCTAACTCGTTTCTTTTGATTATTACAAATGTTTCGTCTACGTAACGTATCCAAATTTTGGGTGAGGATTATGTTCTCGAGCCTTGGCATCACTGCTTCTGCAATCAAACCTGATATTGGCGATCCCATGGGTGTTCCTTTGACTTGTTCATATATTTGGCCGTTGAATTGGAAGTACGCTGTTAGGCATAGGTTTATGCATTCCATCCAACTTGTGTGTTGCATTTTCGATTGTTGTGGGAGGTGTTTGTCGTTGCTGAGTAATTTCTCCATGGTCTCTTTTGCTAGTTTCTGTCCATTTGAGGTATATAATGCTGTGATGTCGAAGTATATCATTATTTCTTGGTCATCTATTTGGATGCCTCTAATTTTCTCTGGAAATTGGATAGCTGAATTGATGGAGTGATCACTAGATTTCGTTAGGTGTTTCAATTTTTTCGTATAGTTCTTTGAATAAATTGTATGTTGGAGTTCCTGGGAGTAATACAACTGGTCGTAACAGGATATTTGGCTTGTGTATTTTGGGTCAGCCGTAGAATCGGGGTAGGACTGGTCCATTGGATTTCAGTTTCAGTGAGCTTGTTTAAGGTTCTTCGGATGCGGTTGTCTAATGTTTGTATGGGATTTCATGGGAGTTGTTGATATACATCCTCGTCTTTGAGTAGTTCCACAGCCTTCTTGGTGTATTCTTCTCCGTCCATGACTACTGTTGTTCTTCCTTTGTCGGCTGGTAGAATGACGATGTCCTTCCTATCTTTCAGCTTTTTCAGGGCCTTTAGTTCTTGAGAGTTGAGTTGTGTGTGTGTTCTTTTTTCTGTTTGACCATTGGTACAATTGTTTAGCGTATCTCTTCCTGTGTTTCCTCGTTCAAGTTTGATGATTTGAGTAATGATTCAAAGGCAGCGAAGAAATCAGTTTTCGAAGCATCTCCAGTGTTGTAGTTTAATCCTTTTTGTAGTAGTTGTTGTTCCATTTTTGATAGTGGTTGTTTTGATAGGTTGACTATGCCGTGAATAGGTGTATAGTCTGGTTGTTGTTTTCTAATCCTGGCTAGCTTGGCTTTTAGGACACTCCGTCTTTGTTCTCTGTGTTTTCTACTCCTGGAGAAATCTAAAAGCTCAATTCATCAAATTGAAGTATGCGCTGAAGATGTTGCCTAGTAAGTAGGGCAATGAAAGCTTCGCAAATTAACTATCCAGCTAGCTCAGAGAACACAACCACATCAAAATCAACCACCTGAGCTACAAATCTTCTCCATCATACCATTTTTATGTCTCCATGCTTATTTCTGGTTTTGTTGAAAGGAGACACATCATCTAGTTGATTTCTTGAAGGCTTTCAACAGCTTGCATCATTTCGTCTCTCTGATTCCCTCGAAGAATATGTCCGACTTCTATATATTTCTGTTGTACTTCGAAGTTTCTATAGCGACTGAATTGATTTTCCAGCGTAGAGCCACCATCTCCAAACCTAGCCTTCCCCCTTTTATTCCAGGTCGAAATGAAGACGGAGGTGTGCTGTTGAAGACGTATTTTAAACTCACAACTCACGACATAAAAGTACAAAGATTGTGGTTCTTTATAAGAGTTCAATAGTTTGTTTCATAACTCCATTATAGAAAAGATTTTATTTTGATAAACTCTCACAGTGTTGTCATACAGTAATATTAACTGATGACCACATTTTGAGCACAAACTATTGCTCACACAACTTTTTCTCCTTCATTTGTATACATGACTGGAATTGATGATTAGACATTTGAATAAAAATCAATATAAGATGATAATGTACATTCAGAAATAATAATAATATGAGTGTTATCAATCAAATACAATCAGATGGGAAATAAGACGAGTGGTTTTATAGTCAAAATAAATAAGTAACTTGTTAGAATGTTGTAATGTACGTGAATTGAATTGAAATAGAATACGATTTAAGATTATTTATTATCCTCCAGTGATTTGACTGACTGGTGATAATAATATCTTCCATATCTGTGGTATTTGCATTGAGTCATTTCTGTCGAGTGTGTTTGGTGTAGACTCAATGAACAAGGATTCCGTAATCAACCTATCTCTCCACCTACGTATGTTACTCTTAAGAATTTTAACCCTCTCCCACCATATTGTGTGGTTGTGTGTTAATGCGTGCAGTGCAATTGCTGAGTGTTTTTCTAAATTACTTATCTTCTTGGGGTGAACCATTCTTACCTTAGCTAAATTCTTATATTCTGACAGGCAGTCTGGCTACCCGTGACCTACTGGTTTGACCTATGTAATTGACTTCACAGTCATTGCAGGGTATTTTGTAAATTATATTATTTTGTCTAATTGGGTCAACAGGGTCCTTTAACCTACAAAGCCTGTCTTATATGAGTGAGATCCTAGGTTTGAATGCCACCCTAATTCCTGCTTTATTAAGAATCCCACGTGAGGAGGGTCTCAGATGTCTCCTCCTTATATGGTATTTCGTCATTTTGGTCTTTAAAACAGATAGAAGAAGCGTTGATGTTGAATAACTATCCTATAAAATTCATAAGGATGATCACTAAAGGCCAAAAACAAAATAAAAATAATTGTTAAACTAGTAGTGATAACATTAATAAGAGAGAATATAAGGCATCTATTGTTATACCATATAAGGAGGGGACATCTGAGACCCTCCCCACGTAGGATTCTTAATAAAGCAGGAATTAGAGTGGCATTCAAACCTTCAAACTCACTCAGACCGGGACAAGCTACTTATTTTGACTATAGAAACACTCGTCTTATTTCCCATCTGATTGTATTTGATCAATAACACTCATATTATTATTTCTGAATGTACATTATCATCCCATATTGATTTTTATTCAGTCAAATGTCTAATCATCAATTTTACTCATGTATCAAAATGAAGCACAAAAGTTGTGTTAGTGAGCAGCTTGATATGATTATGAGTGGCAATAGTTTGTGATCGAAAGGTGGTCATCAGTGAATAACTTACTGTATGACAACACTGTGAGAGTTTATCAAAATAAAATCTTATCCATAATGGAGTTATGCTCTACCACAGTGCCAAAGTTGTATACTTATATCAATTTGTTTCTATAACTTTGTCCAATATGAAGAAAAATGTGAAATCTTTTGCCATTGGGTACCAACTCTGAAATCATTTTTGTAAATCGTCTGTACTGAGCATAAAGAACGAAATTCGTATTTTCCACAATCTATGTGAAGTCCGTCAATTCTTCTTCATGACTAAGAAACTTAGCGGGTACGCCACAAAAAGCATTTCTAACAAGCTCCACATTGAAGGTCAAATGGCTAGCCAGAAAGAACTAGCAACAAGAAACTAAGGGAACTAACCAATCAAGAACCGATAGCTCAGCAAATATTCCGAATAAAATGGAGTTGGATCGGACACAAGCTGAAGGAACTGTCGAATTACATCGCGCTGCAGGCATAACCTCGAGAGGAATCTGAATGGGAAACGGTGAATTGGTCCTTGTCTCAGGGTGACAGTTGTGCTGCCTCGAAGCTCTAGAAAGGCGGTAAAAAATGTTCTGTGCCGGTCCATAGCCAGCCGGCAGTAATAAATTCATGCGGACACAACTCCAGAAACCACTTCAAACAGGTCGTGTGTTATTGGCCACAACCATTTTTCCTCTAAGATGACAGTGCAAACGTTTGAAGTGAAATTCCACGTGGATCTCACCTTAAACACCTTTTTATGAATATGAAAATATCTTCTAAACAACGGTATTTCTTTTTATAGTTGACAAAAGTAAACTTCAAGTGGCGAAATTATTAATGTCATATATAGAATAATTCATAGGATGTATAGAACTTGGAAGGGGTGTGCAATTATAGGATTAGTGGGCAAATCGAATAAAATAAAAACGTTACGTAATATTGTGTGAAATTTGATAACAGAGAATTTAACTTTATGTGAGTTATCATCTGCACCCAAGAAAATACTGTACATGAGCTTGGAATGCAAAGGGGACTTAGCTTCCGATATATCATGAAAAGAAGGATATTACAGTCCCTGAAAAGAATATTCCCTGCTGAATCTTTGAGAATAGCCTTTACCAGTCGTCCATTACTGTTCAATAACCTGAAGGACAAGATCCCACTGTTGACCAACTCTATGTGTGTTTATCAATTCACCTGCTCGTATGGAGCTAGGTATATCGGTCGTTCGACACGAGTTTTGTCCAACAGGGTGCAAGAACACTATCCTGCATGGTGTTTACGAAGAGGTGGAATCGGAGCAATAAGAAGCACGATCATTCAACATTTGGTCGATAATGATCACCCTATCTCGACAGCCTCCGCCTTTAAAGTCATCTACAAGGCAAAAAGTAATTTGCCCAAATTACTACGTACCCGAATCATCTGTATTGCTGAAGCCATCTTTGGCTATCGAAGCAGAAAAAGTTCATTCGACACCTCCAACCTTCATGGTCTTAATGCCTCTATGCTAAAGTGTGGCAATCCCTAATCGTATTTTGGCTCTACCAATTGTTTCATTTTGTCTATTCAATTTGTATACTCTTCCTTTATTACGTCCATTGTTACTATTACTATTCTCACTTTGAACTGTCCCTGGGATTATTTCACTTGTTCCACTTGTCATTCTAAATCAATTCTGTTTTGCAACATTAAATTCTATGTTATCGAATTTCACACAATATTACGTAACGTAAGACAAGGCTGCCTACTATGGCCCAATGATTTTCCTGATTGCAGTAGACAGGATAATGCGACTAAGAGACAGCGGGCAATGAGGAAACAGGCATAAAACGGACTCACACAAAAACACTTGCAGGATCTAGATTTTGCCGGTGATATATGTCTGATTTCCCACAAACTGGAAGATATGCAAGCGAAAAGCAACAAGTTGACAGAAGAAGAAGCATCAAAGATAGGAAGGACTTCAGGTGAACATAGAGAAAACAGAGGTAGGTGATGAAGATTCCTGAGCAGCACCACCAACAGCAATAAAAACAACAGACAACAATCAGCATAAATGGAAAGAACCTGAAAGAAACAACCTCTTTTACTTACCTAACTGGGAAGCACCGTTTTAACTACAGGCGGGTGGAAGTGACGAGGATATCAAAGCAAGAATCGGAAAAATAAGACAAGCTTTCACTACTCTCAAGTCTGTGTGGAGGTCAACAGCACTCAGCATCAAAAATAAGATCCGGATTTTCAACTCCAATGTGAAGTCAGTGCTACTATACGGATCAGAGACTTGGCCAGCGCGTCATAAAGAGCATCTCAAACAAACTACAGACCTTCATTAACAGCTGTCTTCGCTCAATACTACTCAAGATCATACGGTCGGTCAGAAAAGATTAGCGACAGAGATCTCTGGCAATGAGCGAACCAACCAGGAACCGATTGTGAAACAAATAGGCAGGAAGAAATGGAGATGGATTGGCTGGTCATACTCTGAGGAAACCATCAAGTGACATCACTAGACAAGCCATCACTCGAGTGAAACCCGAAAGGGAAGCGGCGAGTTGGTCGTCAGTGCGAGGGTGGGTGACTTGGAGGAGGTCATGTGAAGAGGAGATGAAAACGTGTGGGCAGACATGGAGCCAGGTGAAGACTCTAGCAGAGAACAGAACGCAATGGAGACGCATGGCTGAAGCCCTATGTTCCTCTAGGAATTAAAGGAAACAATAATAATAATAAAAATAATTACGTAACGTTTTTATTTTATTCGATTTGCCCTCTAATCCTATAATTGCACACCCCTTCCAAGTTCTGTACATCCTATGAATTACTGTATGATATGTAACTATGACAGTAATCACAGATATTTTAATTGCATTTCACACTACCACTATTATTATTTTATGCATTCACACCTTTGATCTAATTCCCGAGCCGAATATAACTTCTTAAAAGCCATATTGTACAGCTTGATAATAAATTCTTTGTTGAAGACAGTCTCTTCGCTGAATCACCACTTGTTTTGACTTTCTAAATGTTACACAATGGGAATTTTCCATAAAATTAAAGAAAAAAGGAAACTTGTTACATTTTTTGTACGGAATGTGCACGAATCCTCCGAATAAAAATTTTGGCAAAACTTTAATTCTTTCTAGTATTCACAGAGTGTTTACAATAATCCTCACTGATTTGTCTCATTCGACACAAATTCATGTTGAAAGTCTGTTTCTCATTTTGATAACATACGTCCTTCATTTCCTTTTTAGTGTGTGGAGTTTTCCACTCAATTGGCAGGCAAAATATTCCAACTTCTCGGTCAACTTGAACCAGCAAAATGGTGTGCTGTAAGTTGATAACTCTAGTCTAGATTTCTTTTTTTTTATTCAAAATTTACCATCTCATCGGTTAGTACTAGGTGTTAGATGCAAGTATACGTACTCTTCATTATGGATAAGATTTTATTTTGATAAATCACACAGTGTTGTACAATAATATAATATTATATCAAAACATTTAGCTCTAATATTATGCCCCATTAGAAATCGTTCAAATTCTAAAATAACTAATTGATATAAGATGAAAAATAAACTAAATCACATACAACTAGAGAATGATGAAACAATGGTTAGTTTTGATATAACTAGTCTTTATACTAATATACCGGTCAATATGGCCTTAGAAGCAGTTAAAAAAGAACTAACTGCGGATCCTGAACTCAATCATAGGACAAACGTGCCCATTGAAGAAATTATTTTAGGGATTCAGCTATGCCTCACATCTATTATATTTAAATTCCAAGGCAAAATATATAGACAAACAGAAGGTGTAGCTATGGGATGGATCACCAATATCCCCTATCGTAGCAGACATATTTATGGACAGTTGGGAAAATATTGCTCTAAATACATTTAATCCTACTCCAAAAATATGGTGGAGATATGTGGATGACACTTTCACAGTGTTATAAACAGAACATATCTCTAGCTTCTTGACACACATAAACTCACTAGTGGAAGGAATAAAATTCACATTTGAAGCCGAAAATGAACAAGGAGAATTAGCTATTTTAGATTGTAAAATAAAACGAATAGAAGAAAGTAAACTCCACACTAGTATTTATAGGAAAACAACGCATTCTAATAGATATTTAGATTTCAATTCGTCTCATCATTTAACTGTTAAGGCAGGCTTAGCTAAGTGTCTAACAAACTGAGCCATAGCACTAAGTAGCACAAAAAAAGACCTAAATGATGAAATAAAACAGATAGAAGAGGCGTTGGTGTTGAATAACTATCCTATAAAATTCATTAGGAAGATCACTAAAGGCCAAAAACAAAATAAAAATAATTGTGGAACTAGTAATGATAACATAAATAAGAGAGAATATGTCATCCACTGTAATACCATATAAGGAGGAGGGGACATCTGAGACCCTACGTAGGATTCTTAATAAAGCAGGAATTAGAGTGGCATTCAAACCTACAAACTCACTCAGGGACAAGCTCTGTAGGTTAAAGGACCCTGTTGGTTGACCCAATTAAACAAAATAATATAATTTACAAAATACCTTGCAATGACTGTCAGTGAGGTCAGCTACATAGGTCAAACTAGTAGGTCGGGGGTAGGCAGACGGCCTGTCAGAACATAAGAATTTAGCTAAGGTAAGAATGATTGACCCTGAAAAGATAAGTAATTTAGAAAAAAGCTCAGCAATTGCACTGCAAGCATTAACACACAACCACACCATAGTATGGTGGGAGAGGGTTAAAATTCTAAAAAGTAATATAGGTAGGTGGAGAGAGAGATTGATTACTGAATCCTCGTTCATTGAGTCTACACCTAACACATGCAACACAAATGACTCAATGCAAATACCAGAAATATGGAAGATATTATTACCACCACCAGTCAGTCAAATCAGAAGAGGATGATGAATAATCGGAAGATTCTATTTCAATTCACATACATTACAACATTCTAACAAGTTACTTATTTATTTTGACTATGAAAACACTCGTTTTATTTCCCACCTGATTCTATTTGATTAATAACACTGATATTATTATTATTTCTGAATGTACATTATCCCATATTTTATTCGCATGTCTAATCATCAATTCCACTCATGTATATAAATGAAGCAAGAGAGTTGTGTGAGTGAGCAGCTTGATATGATTGTGAGTGGTAATATTTTGTGCTTGGAAGGTGGTCATCAGTTAATATTGCTGTATAACACTACACTGTGAGAGTTTATCAAAATGCAATCTTATCTATCCATAATGGAGTTATACTCTACTACCACAGTGCCCGAGTTTTATACTTATATCTATATGTACTCTTGGATAATTGGTCGAAATCGACAAGTAGCTCTATATTTAGGCTTCGTTATTGTTGCCAATCATGAGCACAGTATATCTGCAACCGCATCAATTAGTGCTGCAGTCAGAGACGTTCCCAGTGAGCTATTCAAACTCATGATTAACCCTGCTACAGGACTCTAATGTACATGGTGGCCAGTCATTAGGTCCAGAGCTTCCGGTCAATTACCTCTAATTATCTAACATCAATTCACAAGGTACACTAATCGAAAGTCATCTGAACTGGTGATCACATGACAAACTCGACTGATAAAATTTAGTCTGTACTAGCACTAAGGGCTATTTGTATGATAATGGCCTACTCGCCTAAACTCATCCAAGGACATCCAAGGGAGTTAAGGACTTCAACACTGCCATATTTCCCACAGAATTGACAACACAAAAAGGCTTCAGTCAGTAGAGTATTTGTCTGTACAATCGAAGATGAATATTTTTGATTGGACACTAGTCAGTAACTAGTGTAATATGTCTAGTCCTATTGTAGGGAGAGCTGTCTGCTAGCCAAAATTGGTAGACAGAAATTTACGTCAATGTTCACGCCCCAAATCTTGGTCATGAGAAAAAATACAATAACAAAGACCAACCTTGAGGAACTCAACAACCAATCACAGTAGACTTAGCGTGGGCGGATACGATTCGCAGATATATGGTCTGACCTTCAAAGAAATGGCTACAAAAGGGTGACAGAATAACCTTGAGCAGGAAAACAGTCAATCAGAAGACGTTGCTTCTCTGTTGACAATAACGCTAATAGTAATGTACATAAAAATCTATAAATATCTGTTTATTTTCTCAATAAACGATCTGTTGTCTGCTGTCGTTCCACTATCTTTGGTGCAGACTGAATTCTATCAGTCAAGTAGGCAATGTGGCCACCATGCCACTAAGTGGCTCGCCATAATGGTGCACTTTGAAATGTTGATACGAGATGGTTGGAGGTAATCAGCAGAAAGCCTTGGACATGGGTTTCGTGTTATATGCAAACTCGACTGATGGAATTCAGTCTGCATCAAAGATAGGACTAGATATATAACACTAGTTACTAACCAGTGTCGAATCAAAGTAGCCAGTACAGTCCTACAGGAAGTCAATCACCGGCCCGAATAGCTCTCTGGTAACGCCTCTGACTGCCGGCGGCACTAGGTGACGCGGGTTTGAATCTCAGAAGGGAGATGAGTTCCTTCAAGATTGCAGATACGCCGCCTTTCTGACTAGTGAGTGCCAACAAGCACGAAACCATGGCGCAAGACTTCCTGTTGAAGATGAATAATTTACAAAGTGAGATTGCATTCCGGTAGGATCTGAACGCCTGGCCTCGATTAATTATTTATTATTATTATTTATTGTGATCCTTTGGATTCCGAATGGAGTATAGGACTTCAGACTTGAGCTTCCATGCTTCGGTAACAGGGATGTTTTTTCTAGCCTCACGCTCGACTTTCCTTCTTTAGTGGGCTTACCACCGGAGGTGTGAGGCTTAAGGATGCGTCGGCCGGGTATCGAACCCCTAGCCACTCGGGGCGCGGTTGGTGAGTTTTACACAGCAGGACTACCGACACACTGGCCTCAACGTAGGCCAGTAGACTATTAAGCGCAAGTAATTTATAATATAAAACGTAGGAAAGGCATTTGGGGCTACTTTAAATCATATAAGCGATATATACCAAAACGTGACCTTATAGAGTTCAACTGTTAAGTGTAGGTGATAAATACGGCTCTAGTCATATTATCCAGTGATGTCAAGTGTTAGCTGGCTATCATTAGGAATCATGCATCAATTGGCGTTCCTACTAGTTAAATATATTCACCAATAAATCACATTTAAAATTAGATCACTGACTGAAGTAATTTAAGGAATTACTAGTACCTAGAAAGTAGTGAACAGCAGTTTTGTCCTAGTCCAAGACTCTTCAGTAGCGAACAACCACGAACCCACCGCTAGGTATCAAACACAGGACCTCCAGATTGCGAAGTGCTTTCGTTGGCCATTCAGCCACTGGGATGGAATCTATTTGCCAGACATCATTAATTGTAACGTTTTCTTGTTTACTGTATATTACACCTCCATCAAGCATTTGTGCTCACATGCAAGTCAGTCGACGTCGCGTGTCACGACTTCTCACCATAACGTAAAGGCATTGTATACGCTAGTCAGTCAGTCAGTCATTTTGTAACAACAGAAGACAACGGCCAGGCAACAGATCGTTTATTTGGGAAATCAATAGATATTTTTAGATTTTTATGTACATTATTATAGATTATTGTAAGCAAACAAACACAGTCTTCTGATTGGTGGTTTCTCGTTGAACGTTAATCTTTCATCTCTTTGTGGCAATTTCTTGAAGGTCAGGTCACCTATCTGCAAATTGTATCGACCTAGGCAAAGTTTGCTGTGATTGGTTGTTGAATCAGTCTTTGTTCTTATTTTTCTCTCATGACCAATATTGGGGATGTAAACATTGACGTAAATTACTGTCTAACCCAATTTTGGCTAGCAGCCAGCTCTCACCACACGTTTATCTTCAAAGTGATCAAGTCCCTGTAAACAGGCTAACAAGTAACTCTGCATTTCTCCCTTAAACATCAGAACAATGTGGCTTCGGAGAGAAGTAACCCTCTGTAATGTTCTTTCAATGGAGTATAAATTCTGGAAAAGCTGGAGACAGAATCGAATCATCAGATCACTGGTCATCAACTCCTCTTATGAAAATTAGCTACTGTCTACTATTTTCTTTTTGATTATAGCTTGATTCCACACAGTATTTTTGGTACAGGCATGGAATTTTCAGCATATGATATCGGTAGCCCAAATTTACAGGCCAACCATTGATATCTGGTGTGCGCCAGCAGGGAATCGAACCCCGGAACATGTGCATGGTCGGCGAGAGTCCTAACCGCTGTGCCACCAATGCACTGTACGTAGACTTTAAAGATTAATGAGTGGTTTACTCGGACAGTGATGTATATAGACAGAAATTGAAATCTACCATGCTGCTTACAAAGGTGAAATTTGTTTGAATGCTACTGTCTTCATGGTGTTGTTCAAATTTCATCGTTAGTATCTATGCCGAGTGTTTTCTATACACCGCTAATGAGTGACACTGTCGAAGGCATTTGCCTACTTTTTTGTAGAGTAATGAAATGCTTAAAAGCAAGAATCTTCACTATAATTATGCAAAATATTTAAATTTTAAATTTTCTTCTTCTATTTTTGACTATACATTTCAGTTTCTTGGATTTTGTTATTATCCACCTCATGTACCAGGTAAGTAGTCAATGCAGTTTGTTTTCCTTATTGGATGACGAGCTGAAATCAAATAGAGAGAGAGGGGCATTGAAAACCACAAGATATTCGATAGCCATCTCTTCCTGGTTTCCGAAACTACTTATTGTTTGTTACTCAGCCATGACAACTGGAAAACCGACACTTGAAAATTAATGTAATACGCATTATTTACGATCTACAGGATGAAGTTACCTTGAGTTCTAGTGAGAATTCATGATCATGTGGGGTCCACCGTATTCACTATGAAGACAAATACTGATGATAATAAAAGACAGATTCAGCGAAGAAAATTTTCTTTATCAACGAAATCATCTTCAGAGGTTGTACAATCGTATTTGTACTTACAAAAATATATAGAGGTCTATTATTGAGTAATAGGGGGTGACATAATTGATATAATTACTCGGAAGTGGTTTTAGAAGTGAAAATTAAAAGTTGTAAATTACATGGTACTCAGCGGCACAAAGATAGAAATTTGATAAGGTTAAAATTGCTATTGAGTGAGAATAAAGGTGGTATTTGAGTGTCAATTTAACAAGTGTGAAGAGGGTGTAAAAATATACAAAAGGAGCATATGAGAGTGATGATAGTGAATTAATTATTAAAGCAAAAGCTAACTAAAAGTGAAATTAGAATGAAAAGAAAAAAATCAAAATATATTTTATTTACAAGGAACGATTAGTGAAGAGGTTAAGACCAAGGTAGAATAAGAGACTGGACAAACCTTTTCTGTATACAGAGTTCAGGGTTGTATTGATGAATTGCTAGAGCCTCCGCCATACACAAAAGCCGGAACCTGACGCCCTTTGTACCATTTGGCTTCACTTTGCATATGATCTTGAAAGACGATTCTGGTGGAGCTACGTGGCCTGAGTTCACCAAATGCTCGAGAATTGAGCTAGTAATTGTCTTACATTGTCCCTTTGCTAACCATGCCGGACAATGCTCAGAGATGCGTTTGGAAAGCGTGCGCTTTGTGCGGCCAATATAACTAGCTCCACACGATCAAGTGAATTTATAAACACACATTGAGGTGGCCCAAAGCGGCAGTTTATCCTGGTTTGTAGTAGCGCTAAATATATCACTAAGTGAAAGAATTGGGATAGTGGTCAGTGAGCTCGTCGGTGTAAGCTGAATGTCTTTAGTTCGACGGCCGAAGAGTTCACGATCGAGACCATTGTCCAGTGCTGCACAGTCTTCATCAGTTCTCTAATTCACCTCAACTCGTGGTGCAACTTGAAACCAATCGGCTTCCTGTGGCCGATTGCCTCCAACTATCTAATATCATCAAATCAATGTGCACCGTGATGGTGAGCTACCTAGTGGCATGGTGGCCACATTGCAAACCTGACTGATTCATAGAATTCAGTCTGCACCAAAGAAAAGAAAGGACTAGACACATCACACTAGTTACTGACTAATGTCCAATGCAAATCTCTGTTAGCCTACACTTAACACTTTTCTTAAAGTTTTTTGATGAGGTTAGAGTGTGCGAAAAAATAATCTAGTTGTGGACTTGACCTTAGAACCTTTGTATTTCGATGCGAACGACTTGTTACTCAGTCCACTGGAAGTATTGATCAGTGACTGACTTCCACATCGATTTCTCAAGAAGTTAATACAATTTGTGACAGTATGCTATCGACCAATTTCTAGTATGATGGCAGTCACCTATCTGTTTACACTGAATTCTAATATCGTTAATGCGAAAATCTTTAAAAGTTATTTAAAGTACACTGAAGAGACCTCCATGTGCGTGGGTGGCACAGCGGTTAGGACGCTCGCCGACCATGCACATTGTCCGGAGTTCAATCCCCGGTCGACGCACTCCTTTATCTCGCTAAGCCACAAATAATGCTGGTAAAGAGGAAAGGTTGGGCATGAGGCTAGCAACCTCATCCTGTAAAATAAAACACTGCTACCGAAACTTCAAGCCACTAGCTTGAAGCCCTATGTTCCACTGGGGAACGTGAAGGAAAAAAATGTTCATCCCTTGCATTTTGCGTGGAATTAAAGACCTTCAGCAGCAAATTTCCATCCCATTATGATCTTCACCATCACTTCCAACTCGTTCCACAAATGCTGACAAGTTTTAACCCCCTCTCCACATAACAGCCGTCAGGTCACCCTTGAAAGTCGCTTCCATCCTTTTTCATTTGAGTTCTCACCTAGGACATGTATGGTATGTGTGTTTTATCACTTGGAGGTCTCTTCTTTTTTTTCCTTCACGTTCCCAGTGGAACATAGGGCTTCAAGCTAGTGGCTTGAAGTTTCGGTAGCAGTGTTTAATTTTACAGGATGAGGTTGCTAGCCTCATGCCCAACCTTTCCTCTTCACCAGAATTATTTGTGGCTTAGCGAGATAAAGGAGTGCGTCGGCCAGGGTTGAACTCCGGACCATGTGCATGGTTGGCGAGCGTCCCAACCGTTATGCCACCGACGCACAAGGGATGAACAATAGTAATATAATTTTATATAGCTGCTTTCCATTCTGGTGACAAGGACAAATTTCAGCCATTAATGACTTCTAATGTGAATCACATGATTGGTCAAGTGGTCTTTAATTTCATCTGCATTATCAGAAGTGATAGAAATGTAAAATGGTACTACTCAAAACCATACCCCAGCTTCGTCGACTTTGAAAAGTACTTCGACAGCGTTCACTGCGAAGTAATTTTGAAACCGCTCCAACAGTACAGAGTGCTCCAACTCTATATCAACCTTATTGAGCAGATAGCTATATGATATTGCCACATGTTATGTAATTCACAATGGAAAGCTCAGGGAAGCATCTCGGGGGGGGTGGGGGAAGACCGAAGTGAAACAAGGCTGCCTACTATCATCTATGTCATTCGCGATTGTGGTAGACTAAGTCATGTGGCCCTGATTGCAGTAGATTGGATAATGCAACAAACAGCCGGGCAATGAGGAAACAGGCATAAAATGGACTCACACAAAAAACTTGGAGGATCTGGACTTCGCCGATACATATATGTTTGATTTCCTACAAACTGGAAGGTATGCAAGCGAAAAGCAACAAGTTGGAAGAAGAAGCATCCAGAGAAGATAGGACTTCAGGTGAATATAGAGGAAACAGAGGTGATGAAGATTCCTGGGCAAAGCAACACTAACAGCAACAACAACAACAGAAAACAATCAGCATAAATGGAAGGAACCTGAAAGAAACAACCTCTTTTACCTACCTGGGAAGCATCGTTTCAACTACAGGCCGACGGAACTGACGAGGATATCAAAGCAAGAATCGGAAAAGCAAGACAAGCTTTCACTACTCTCAAGTCTGTGTGGAGGTCGACAGCACTACCCAGCATCACAAATAAGATCCGGATTTTCAACTCCAATGTGAAGTCAGTCAGTGCTACTATACGCATCAGAGACTTGCACTGCGCGTCATAAAGAGCATCTCAAACGAACTACAGACCTTCATTAACAGTTGTCTTCGCTCAATACTCAAGATCAGATGGCCGGTCGGAAAAGATCAGCAACAGGGATCTCTGGGAGCGAATTTTTACCAGGAACCGATTGTGAAACAAATAGGCAGGAAGAAATGGAGATGGATTGGTTGGTCATACTCCGAGGAAACCGTCAAGTGATATCACTAGACAAGCCATCGCTGGAGTGGAACCCGAAAGGGAATCGGCGAGTTTGTCGTCAGTGCAAGGGTGACTTGGCGGAGGTCATGTGTATAGGAGATGAAAACATGTGGGCAGACATGGAGCTAGGTGAAGACGTTAGCAGAGGACCGAACGCAATGGAGACGCACGGCTGAAGACCTATGTTCCTTTAGGAATTCAAGGAAACAATAATAATAATAAGTCATGTGGCAGACAGTGGAAAGCGAGGAGACAGGAATACGTTGGACCGATGAGAAGACCCTGGGAGAACTGGACTTCGTGGGTAATTTGTTTCTAATGTCACAAAAACTGAAATATCCACGGGTGAAAACCTACAAGTTGGCAGAAGAGGTTGGCGGAGAAGAAAAGACTTCAAGTGAACTACCACCACCACCACCAACAACAAGCACCAATCACCATCAGCGGAAGAAATTTGAAGTAAGTCAGTAATTTAATTTATGTAGGCAGCGTCGTTTCAACTACATGTGACACAACAGATGAAAATGTTGAAGCTAGCCGTGATTGGAGAAGCATGAGAGACGTTGATTTATCTGGAATCAATGCGAAAATTTGCTACACTCAGCATAAAGAACAAGATTCGGAGCGTCAACACTAATGTCGAATTAGGTCTTCTATACGGTTCACAGACTCGGGTTATTATTATTCCCTTGCGTTCTGAATGGAATATAGGACTTCAACAACACATCTCCACTTTGTTCTGTTTTCTGCCGTCCTCTTCAACTGGGTCCATGATTGACCAAACTGTCTCATCTCTTCCTCACACGATCTCCTCCATGTCACCCTCGCATTGACCACCCACTCGTCGCTTCCCGTTTGGATTCCACTCGACGGCCTGGCCTGCAATATAATTCGGTGGCCTCCTCAGTGTATGCCCGATTCATCTCTACTTTCTTCTATATATTTGTTGAGCAATCGGCTCTCGCCTGTTGGTTTGTTCACAGCCAGAGTTTCTTGTTACTTATTATTTCTGGCCATTTCATCTTCAGTATGGAGCTAGTGAAGGCAGCTGTTGATGAAAGTCTGCAGTGAACTGTTGGAAATCCTTTTCGTGACTAACGTGCAGTGTGAGTTTCTGATCCGTATAGAAGAACCGACTTGACATCGGTGTTGAAGAGAATCCGAATCTTGTTCCTTATGCTGAGTGCGGAAGATTTGAAAACTGGTCTCAGGTTGACGAAGGCGTATCTTGCCTTTCCGATTCTGACTGACTTTGACATCTTCCGTTCCGCCAGTAGTTGAAACGATGCTGGCTGCCTGAATAAGTGAAGGAGGCAACTCTTATCTCTTCCGTTGATGGTGATTGGTGCTCACTGTTATTGCTGCTGCTGTTGGTTGGTTGGTTATCTTCATCACCTCCGTCCTCTCTTTTTTCACCTGAAATCATGTATTCACTACAAACGTCTTTAGACAGTTAGTTGGTCTTCGCCTGTAAGTCTTCGAGTTTGTGAGAAATTAGACATATTTCATCCAGGTACGAAATCCATATCTTCCAGAGTCTTTTCATCGGTGGTCCAGCGTATCCATGACTCTTCGACCCTGACAGTCTGACGCATAATCCAGTCCACCACAATTTAGAGTATCATCGATGATAATAGACAGCCAGCCAGGTTGTCTTACTCCTGTGTGCACTTCGAACGCCTCGCTGAGTTTTCTGTTGTGGATGACTTGACATGTGGCATTGTTAATTAGCTGTTGAATGAGGTTGACAAACAATCGAGGTACGCCAGAGTGTTGAAGTAGTTTCTAAATTACTCGGTGGTCAACACAGTCTGTCGAAGGCCTTTTCGAAGTCGATGAAGTTGAGGTAGAAGTCTGACTGCCATCTTATGCTTTGTTCGATAATGATTCGTAGAGTTGCAGTTTGATCAGCACATGATTTGCCTTTCCTCAATCTAGCCAGCTTGTTCCGATGTGGCTGACGGAGTTCTGCATCCACTGCATCCTTTATTCTCTCCAGGATGACACGATTTAGTATGTTACTCGTCATGGAAAAGAGCATGATTCCACGCTAGTCAGTTCTTGTACAGGCCTAGGTCGTCCTTCTTTGGCAGCTTGACAAGGCAGCCAGCCTTCCTTCCAATCAGTAGGCACCTTTCCTTCTTTCCAAACCTTTTGCAATAATGCAGCGAGAACATCTTCCGTAATCTCTGGGGTCGTCTTCAGTGCGTTATGCGTCACCGAAAGTATTTGCCAAAGGCTACTGGAAACTTTCATTGACACCTACCATCTTAGATTCATACACAAGATCAGATGTGCAGAAAAGATAAACAACAAGGAACTCCAGCAACTGACCAACCAAGAATCTTTCGCCCACCAAAATGTGCAGAAGCAAGTGGAAATGGAATGGACAGACGGTGAAGAGACCGTTCGGTTTCATCACGAGACATAGAGGCTAAAGAATGAAACCTGGAAGGGAAACGACTGACGAGTTTGGTAACATGCTGAAGTTGACACTGAGGAGAAATTGTTTTAGGAGGTAAAGAGGACTGCAAAGAATCCCTGTGTTCCCCTCGGAACCTATTATTATTATTGTTCCCTTGGGTTCCTAGTGGAACATAGGGTTTCAACTGCACGTCTCCACTTCCTTCTGTCTTCTGCTGTATTTTTCACCTGCATCCATGTTAGTCCATACTGTTTCAGTTCCTCTTCACACGATCTCCTCCATGTCACCCTTGGACGCGCGATGTCACCCAGCGGCCTCCTCAGCGAGTGTCCAATCCATCTCCACTTCTTTCCCCTGCATATTTGTTGGGCGATTGGTTCTTGTTCTGTTTGTTCCAATAGTTTCTTGTTTGTGATTCTTTCCGGCGGCCATCTGATCTTCAGCAGTATAGAGCAAAGACAGTTGTTGTTGATAAAGGTCTGCAACAGGCTGTTGGAAATATTCTTTGTGACACACTGGCCAAGTCTCTGATCAGTATAGAAGAATTGACTGACTTGACGTTTGTATTGAAAATCCGAATCATTTTGTTGTTGATGCAGGCTGAGTGACGAAGATTTCCAGATTTGTTTCAGGTTGATGAATGTGTTTCTCGCCTTCCCGATTCTCGATTTGACATCGTCGTCCGTTCCACCTGCCTGTAGTTGAGACAATGCTCCCCAGATAAGTGAATGAAGTAACCTCTTTCAAATCCCTCCCGTTGATGGTGATTGGCGCTGGATGTTGCTGCTGTTGTTGTTGTTGGTTAGTTGTTTTCATAACTTTCGTCTTGTCTATGTTCACCTGGAGTCCTGTGTTCTCCAGCTGCTTCTTCGACCAGTTTGTCTGTTTTCACTTGTAAGTCTCCGATTTTGTGTGACATCAGACATAAATCATCCACGCGCGAAATCCAGGTCTTCTAGATTCTTCACATCGGTCCAGGATATCCATGTTTTCTCGTTTCCATGCACTGTCTGACGCATAATCCAGTCCACCACAATTACGAATATCATTGGTGATAATAAGCAGCCAGCCTTGTCTGACTCCTGTGTTTACTCCAAACGCCTCACTGAGTTTTCCATTGTGGATCACTTGACATGTGGCGTTGTCGTACAGCTGTTGAATAAGGTTGATGAATATTTGGGGTAAGTCGTAGTACTCGAGTAGTTTCCAAATTACTTCGCGGTCAACGCTGTCGAAGGCCTTGAGGTAGAGGTTTGATTTCCATTCCATGCTCCCCAAACGTCATTACTGAAGAGAATCAATGTTAAACTGGTGTTTGACTGACATTATTCGACCATCATTTAGCATAGTTTCTTTTAACTTTATCGTATTCTTTATTCTTCTTCTTCTTTTATTTATCTTCTAGTCTGTAAATATTGTTACGAAACAGGATTAACCATAAAATCAATGTTATTATCGAAGCATTTCCTCTCAGAATTATACAATAACACGTTAGCTATGTGTAATGAAGTGCCTACTTATTCATTTGTTGTGAGTCAATAATAATTATTATTATTAGTATTATTCTTAATACTTGTTTATAAGAACTGCTTCAATAGTATTTAACTATCTATCTATCGATTTATTGATCGTCGAAATACTGATTACATTTATTGTTTTATTCATTAACTTATTTACTAGTAATTATGCGAACAATATTTCAAAAACCTTTTAGTTTGGATTTTTTTTGTCTAGTCTAAAGAAAGTACCATTCAATAAGAAAAGAAAAAGAATTATGTGATTACTGGTAGCTTAGTGACTGTAGACAACAGAACTGCTTTTAATCACTATCAACTAAATTGGAATAACGGATAGAAACGCTTTTTGAATAAGTGCGCTAAGTCGATGTATTCAGTAAAATGTAATATATGAGGTATTTCCAAACACTTCTCACTGGTGTTTATTCTGTTATCATACCTTCAGACACTTTGAAGTTTCAACAGTCGTGATCCTGTTTTCATAGCATGATGTTGGTGGCCTCACATCCATCTCGGGTCTATTTTTGACTAGTAAACTAGTTGAGATTAGGAGTGCGTTGACTAGAAAATTGATCTCGGACTATTTGTGTGCACGAATCAGCTGATTTTTGACGGCCCGCGGATTTTGAAAATCTGTCGGTACAATTGCCAGCTGGATGCATCCAAATTTAAAAAGTACTACTGTAACAACAGAAGACAAGGGCCAGGCAACAGATCGTTTATTAAGGAAAATCAACACATATTTATAGATTTTAATGTACATTATTGTTAGTAGAAAATACAGTCTTTTGATTGGTTGTTTCTCACAGAAAGTTAACCTTGCATCTCTTTGTGGCTGGCTGTGTCAGATCATCCATATGCCAACTGTATCCGCCTACGCAAAGCCTTTGTTCTCATTTCCTCACCGCCAATATAGGGGACATAAACATTGACGTGAATTACTGTCTACCAACTTTGGTTAGCAGCCAGCTCTCACCACAAAGGTACCATCTAGTCTTTTACTGATGGTATGATCCGTGTAAAATGGTGCAGGCTACCTTGCTGGAGTCCTAGGGACGTCAAGAACCAGTGCCTGAGTACTATTGATAGCATGGCTCAAGGAGTCCTCAGTGGCACAGATGGATACAGTATTTGTAGCTCCACAGATTCGTTAAATTCTCATAATGCTCCATGTTCCTTTGAGTAGTTTGTCTACCTCTGGATGATATGGAAAGTCTGGCAGTTTGGGCTGCTGCACTCTTGTACTGCAAAGGTCTACGTTGAAAACTCTGGCAGTCAGTTGTAGACATATGTTTACACAGAAGTGTGATTTTTTAAATGATTTTATAATTCTTATTTTATAATTTAGTAAGTTAATAAATAATATGTTTTTTCATCTCCGTCCCTTTTCCTACTTTTCTCTTCATATTACACAGTGTGGTCCAGTTATACACGATGTGTTTATGGCTATCACCTTGAGCTTTAACAAACAATTCTTAGTGCAGCGATTCTGTCAGGTAACTTTTACACAGATAATATTATCTTTGAGCAATGTATACGTACCAAATTCTATTATTATTCATGGCATTAAACATCAATATAAGTGAGTGAAAGCATCTCTTCATCCAATTAAATAGTAGGGAGATTCACTCTTTAAACCACAGATTCTTAGAGCTGGCCAAAATGATGGAGTCACACCTAGTAAACGTTTTATTATCATACTAGGATTCTTCCACAGTTTTAACTCCAATTCATAGTAATTCAACTCTGGATAAATATTCATGCATAACATCCTATTTTACCAATTATCGATGTATTTTAAAGCTGATTGGTGGAGCCACGAATGCCTCTTTTTTCTAATTGGTTGCCTTTTTCGTTAGAATGCATTTTTGAAGGTCGTATTGATTTGATTGGTTGACTTGAATTGAATTAGTGGGCAAAGATAAACGCTATCGCAAGGTTTTTTCGTGCATAGTACATCAAACGCCACAACATAAATTCCAGTTGTATGTAGAAAGAAGTTGATAAAACCTCTATGAAACAATCAAATGTAACAACTAATATGATTACAGCATTCCTTTAAGTACGTAATACAAAATGGCCGTTTACGACCAACTACCTAAGTGAATACAAATCGTAATTGACGTCCCTACTCGTTCTACCTAATTAAGAATATTTTAAAATGGAAATTTGTTATGTTTGAATTGCTAAAACTTTTCGTTTCAACTAGAGACGGACGAAGCTGACGATGATATCAAAGTGAGGATCGGGAAAGTTAGGCGAGCTTTCATTACTTTCAAGTCTCTTTGGAGATAAACAGCACTCAGCATGAAAAATAAGATCTGGATTTTCAACTCCAATGTGAAGTCAGTGCCACATACTATGCGGATCAGAGACTTGCACTGCGCGTCACGAAGGCCACTTCGAACAAACCACAGACCTTCATCAACAGCAGTCCTCGCTCAGTACTCAAGATGAGATGGCTGGTCAGAAAAGATCAGAAACAGAGGTCTCTGGAAATGAGCGAACCAACCCAGCAGGAACCGACTGTGTAACAAATATGCAGGAAGAAATGGAGGTAGGTGGATTGAACATACTGTGAGAAAACAAACCATCAAGTGACCTCATACAACAGGCTCTCGAGTGGAACCCGAATGGCAAGCGGCAAGTCAGTCATCAATGCCAGGGTTACATGGAGGAGGTGACGTGAAGAGGAGATGAAAGCATGTGGGCAAACGTGGAGTCAGGTGAAAAGTTGGCATAGAACCAAACGCAATGAAGTCTTGCGTCTGAATCCCTATGTTTCTCTAGGAACTAAAGGAAACAATAATAGTAATATAATAACCTTCGGATGTCTTTGAAATGTTCATACTTGGAGTGGACATGTCAACAGGGGTAGAACATTTTAACCTAACATAATCAATAAAGAGGAAATGCAAAATTTCCTTAAACCCATAACAGTAATGCATGTTTCATATTCTTCTGGACTTTCCTCAGGGTGGAACATCTCAACACCCTAGTAAGTTAGCCTATTTCCACTCATTCTCAAGGCTAGAACTAGTTGCATCGAAATTCAGAAGACTGACCATTACTAGACAGGCTACTAGGCCAAAATAACTGTCATTTTGAAATTTCTTCTCGTCTTACTGTATGATCGACAGTATGGTGTGGTGTATTTCACCATCTCTTAGCGTCCCAAATGGAACATATGACTTCAAGCCTTGAGCTTTGGAGTTTCAGTAGCACTGATGTTATTTTTTAAGGGGTGGGGTCACACACCTCACACCCTACCTCCCCTGTTTTCTATTTTGCTGTCAACTAGTAAGCTAGGCTAGGTTTAGAAGTCCATCGGCTAGGAGTTGAACTCACATGACTCTCACATGACTAGCAAGCATCCTGCATTCCATCAACTTTGGCATGCATGGCTAAATAAATTCGCCGCAAAGTGAAGTAGCACTGATAGGAATATTTCTTAGGGTGATATTTCATCTAGAAATGAAATCATTTGGGGAAGGTTTGAAAATCTGACGGCTCTAGACATCTGTTTTATCCTAGTTGGGGGCTGACTGATTAGCAGATCATACCAAAGACCCCATGAAGGGATCGAACTGAGGATATGTAGATTACAAGGCCCGTCTGTCTATCATTCAGCCAGCAGGTTGGAGTCCAATGACCTACGAATTCTAACTTCACTAAATTCACACATCAGGGTTTTCCTTCACGTTCCCCAGTGGAACAAAGGGCTTCAAGTTTGTGGCTTGAAGTTTCTCTAGCAGTGTTTATTTTACAGGATGGGGTTGTTAGCCTCATGCCCAACCTTTCCTCTTCACCGGCATTATTACTGGCTTAGCGAGGTAAAGGAGTGCGTCGGTCGGGGATCGAACCCCGGTTTATGTGCATGGTTGGCGAGCGTCCTCACCGCTATGCCACCGACGCACTAAATTCACACATACACACACTTAATGATATCAAAATGCATATTTAGCATCGACTGGGAGCTGACATCAGCTAGAGAACCATTGGAAAACCACTGGGGGGGAGGGTATCGGACAGCTGTTTAGTGAAATGACTCTTTGGCAGTACGCAACCACCGGCGTTTAGATCGCTATCAATCCTGTAAGCGATCGAATTCCTGCAAACCAACACATGATAATTGATCTGATGCTCACTAGCGACTTACCGTATACCGGAAGTGACCTGGAGTCCTGGTTAGAAGGTGTAACCAGTGGAGTGTCCATCAAGTCAGACAAGACGACAGTCACTCGCCTATGACATCTGTTAGTGGGGACACTAACAGAATTTGGGATTCATGGGCGACTGGATCCAATCACAGTGGTTGAATGGTCTACGAGTTCACTTTGTAACCCGATGATTCTTTGCCTCGAACCCCGGTGGATGAGTACTGATGAAGAGTGAATCCTAAACCAGGAAGTAACAGCTGTTGAGTACTGCCTGGTGGTTTCCAAAGCTGATCTTGTCTAACTAATGTCAGCTCGGGATAAATCCTGTAAGCGATCAACTTCCTGTAAACCAACACTTCATAAACAGCACTTTTGCCAACTAAATTTTCAACGAATGTAAGTCGTTCAAGTTGAAACTTCAATTTCTGAGGTATCTTCAGCAGACAGACGTACACTACCTAGATTAGATCAATATTCACTGTCTATTTCTCTTCGAAAATGCTCAGTTTCTTTTTCGATTGTCATTCTACGGTGCTCAAGGAAAGATCGTGAAGTAATAATATATACATATATATTTTTTGTTCAGCGAAGAAATTTCTTTTCAACGACTTCATTTTCAAGCTGTACAGTCATATTTATATTACAGAAAAGGTTATTATGCTTTTCACGGTCGAAGAAGAGTCGAATTCCTCATTCCACTTCATTGATGTTAAGCTAGATAGAAGAGAGAAGGAGTACACTAACTTCAACAGTTGGGTACCGCTAGGGAGAAAGAGAAATCTTATTCATTCCTTATGCTCCAGAATTCGTAAAATCTGCTCTGCAGAGACAATCGATAGTGAACTGGATAACCTTCGATCAAATCTCCTTAACAATGGTTATCCTACAAGGTTTATCGAACGTAACATCAAGAAGGAATCCGCCCCTAGACAAATCACAGTGCCAAAGAAAAAAACTGTTTATGAGTCTGGCATTCAAAGGTGACACCATTTCGTAATTGATTAAAAATCGTTTATCTAAATGTATTAAATGCACTTTTCCTGCAGCTGACTTGCAACTAGTTTTTACCAGCCGAAATATGATTAGACCGCTTTTGTCCACATCCATGTGTATTTACTCTTTTACCTGCTCTTGTGCAGCTGTTTATATTGGACGTTGTAAGCGTAATCTCCGAAAACGTGTAGTAGAACACTATCCAGTCTGGTTAATGAAAGGCGGACGTAGAACCGCGAAGTCGTCTATTTGTGATCACCTGTTAGAGGCAGGTCATTTAGCCCCACGTGATTCATCTTTCAAAGCTATCAACATGGCACAATCGAATCGATCCAAAAGTTCACGTTTTCTTCACTCATGCATAGCCGAAGCTTTAGCTATACATGAACAGAAACCTAAATTATGTGTTCAAAAAAGGTTTGTCAAACCCCTTTCTTTACCTTGGTCATAGAATTGTTCTTTCTAGTTTTTACTTTATTTTATTTTACCACTTGAATTCTTTCAACTTCACTTCACATCTTCATTCTTATCGTAATCTTACTACTAATTTTTTAAAATTTTTAGACAACACTTGACATTTTTAAAAAATTTTTGATTTCAGTTCACTTGTGAAACAATCTTTAATAATTTTGTAATTTATCCACTTCAACTCTACCCCTTATAACATTTTAATTATCGTTATTCTTATCACTTATATATGTATCTTGACTGAGCAATTATTTAGTGCCAGTTAATAACCTTTTTTCTGTAATATAAATACGACTGTACAGCTTGAAAATGAAGTCGTTGGAAAGAAATTTCTTCGCTGAACGAAAAAACTGTGTTTTTACTTATGAATAAATGGGTATTTTTCGTGATATACATATGTATCTCAAAATCAGTAATATTTTAAGTATCCTGAGAATTTTTGTGTTCCTGTCCTTCCTCATTTCTTTTTGTTTTTATCTTTATAGAATGCTGGATTCTGTTAAACAGTGACTTTCACTAGAAATGAGTTACCACTGCTGTTATGCAACAAGTATTTTGTGTGGAAGGATTGTTTGTAGCTGCAATGGAAAGTCAAATGCAACATTATAGTTTACATTCAATTTTAGTGTAAAATAAAACGTTAACGAATTTCAAAATGTTTGTTTTTATTATTATTATTGATCCTCTGCTTTCTGAGTGAGACGTAGCACGTCAGCAGTGCATCTCGCATTCCACTAAGTTCTCTGACGTTGCTTCCAACTGGCTCCACAACTGCCCACAAACTCTTATTTCCTACTCATGCCATGATCTTCTCCACGTCACACTCGGATCCAACCACATTTAAATCGTCGCTTCCCACCAGTAGGCTTGGGTATAACACAGCTATCCAGTCTGACTCCGTTTTCTTCTACACATATTTGTCGGGCAAGACATTCTCTCGCTGCCTGCCAGAGATACTTGTTGCTTATGCTTTCCGGTCAGCTAGTCAGCCAGCCATCTGATTTTCTGTATCGAGGCAGCAATGTCGGATAGGCGTTGATGAAGGTCTACAATAGTCTAAATCCAATATAGATAACATTTTCTTTTGATAAACTCTCACAGTGTTGTTATACAGTAATATTAACTGATGACCACATTTCGAGCACAAACTATTGCCACTCATAATCATATCAAGTCACTCACTCACACAACTCTCTTCCTTCATTTATATACATGAGTGGAATTGATGATTAGACATTTGATTGAATAAAAATCAATATAAGATGATCATGTACATTCAGAATAATAATAATATGAGTGTTATCAATCAAATACAATCAGATGGGAAATAAGACGAGTGTTTATATAGTCAAAATAAGTAACTTGTTAGAATGTTAGAATGTATGTGAATTGAATTGAAATAGAATACAATTTGAGATTATTTATTATCCTCCTCTGATTTGACTGACTGGTGGTAATAATATCTTCCATATCTCTGGTATATTTGCATTGAGTCATTTCTGTTGCGCATGTGTTGAGTGTAGACTCAATGAACCAAGCAGGATTCAGTAATCAAACTCTCTCTCCACCTACATAGATTACATCTTAGAATTTTAACCCTCTCCCACCACCCTATTGTGTGATTGTGTGTTAATGCTTGCAGTGCAATCGCTGAGCTTTTTCCTAAATTACTTCTCGGAGTCAACCATTCTTACCTTAGCTAGATTCTTATGTTCAGACAGGCAGTGTGACTACCCACGATGTACTAGTTTGACCTATGTTGGTGATCTTACCAAAGTCAGGTATTTTGTAAATTATATTATTTTGTTTAAGTGGGTCCACTGGGTCTTTTAGCCTACAGAGCTTGTCCCTGTCTAAGTGAGTTTGTAGGTTTAAATGTCACCCTAATTCCTACTTTATTAAGAATCCTACCTAGGGAGGATCTCAGATGTCCCCTCCTTATATGGTTTAACTGTAGATGCCTTATTTTTTTCACCATTATTTTTATTTTGCCTTTGACCCTTTCTGATCTTCCTAATGATTTTTGTAGGATAGTTATTTAACAACAACGCCTCTTCTATCTGTTTCATTTCATCGTTTAGGTTTTTTGATGTCATACTTAGAGTGAGTTATTGCTCGGTTTGTTAGACACTTAACACTCATATTATTATTTCTGAATGTATATTATCCTATATTGATTTTTTTATTCACATGTTTAATCATCAATTTCACTCATGTATATGAATGAAGCAAGAAAGTTGTGTGAGTGAACAGCTTGATATGATTATGAGTGGAAATAATTTGTGCTCGAAAGGTGGTCATCAGTTAATAATACTGTATAACACTACACTGTGAGAGTTTATCAGAAGAAAATGTTATCTATAATGGAGTTATACTCTACCACCACAATGCCCAAGTTTTATACTTATACCAATTTGGAAATGTTTTTGATGACGCATACACCAAGTCTGTGAACCATTTAGAAGCACTGACTGATTTGACATTAGTCTTATTAAATATGTACCTTCTTTCTTGTGATTAGAATGGCAGATCTGCACACTGAGTTCTACATTATAGATCTGACTATTTAGTACTCTTTATTACCTTTTCATTCCACCTTAAGAATTAATAAAATCTACAGACGAAGCAATCGATATCAGATGCTGTCTATCAGCTGTTACTCGTCACACATGCCGAAGAACACAACAGCTGATAAACCACTTCAGTCAGTTGACGAATAATGAACACGTCAAATCACCTATCTGATTGTTCGACCTTATTATTTATTATTATTGTTCCCTTGGGTTCCTAGTGGAAAATAGGGCTTCAACTGCACGTCTCCACTTGCTTCTGTCTTTTGATGTACTTTTCACCTGCATCCATGTTAGTCCATACTGTTTCAACTGCTCTTCACACAATCTCCTCCATGTCACACTGGGACGTCCCACTCGCCGTTTCCCTTTCGAGTTTCACTCGAGCAATGTGCTGACGCGCGATGTCACCCAGCGGCCTCCTCAGCTCAGCGAGTGTCCAATCCATCTCCACTTTCTCCTGCATATTTGTTGGGCGATTGGTTCTTGTTTTGTTTGTTCACATTGTTTCTTTTTGGTGATTCTTTCCGGTGGTCATCTGATCTTCAGTAGTATAGAGCGAAGACAGTTGTTGATAAAGGTCTGCAACAGGCTGTTGGAAATATTCTTTGTGACACACTGGCCAAGTTTCTGATCCGTACGTATAGAAGAACTGACTGACTTGACGTGTGTATTGAAAATCCGAATTTTGTTGTTGATGCAGGCTGAGTGACGAAGATTTCCAGATTAGTTTCAGGTTGATGAATGTGTTTCTCGTCTTCCCGATTCTCGATTTGACATCGTCGTCCGTTCCTCCTGTAGTTGAGACAATGCTCCTTAGATAAGTGAATGAAGTCACCTCTTTCAAATCCCTCCCATTGATGGTGATTGGCGCTGGATGTTGCTGTTGTTGTTGGTTGCTTATTTTCATAACCTCCGTCTTGTCTATGTTCATCTGGAGTCCTGTCTTTGCTGCTTATTCGACCAGTTTGTCGGTTTTCGCTTGTAAGTCTTCGATTTTGTGTGACATCAAACATGAATCATCCACGCGCGAAATACAGGTTTGCCTTCTAGGTTCTTCACGTCGGTCAGGACAGGATATCCCTGTCTTCTCGTTTCCCACTGTCTGATGCATAATCTAGTCCACCACAATTAGGAATATCATTGGTGGTAAAAATAAGCACCCTTGTCTGACTCCTGTGTTTACTCCAAACGCCTCGCTGAGTTTTCCGTTGTGGATCACTTGACATGTGCCGTTGTCGTACATTTGTTGAATAAGGTTGATGAATATTTGGTGTACGCCGTAGTACTTGAGTAGTTTCCAAGTTACTTCGCGGTCAACGCTGTCTGTCGAAGTCCTTCTCAAAGTCTATAAAGTTGAGGTAGAGGTTTGATTGCCATTCCATGCTTTGTTCGATGATGATGCGTAGAGTTGCAACTTGGTCAGAACATGATTTGCCTTTCCTGAATCCGGCTTGTTCTGGTCGGAGTTCTGCATCCAGTGCGTCCTATATTCTCTCCAGGATGATGCGACTCAGGATTTTACTTGGCGTCGACAGGAGCATGATTCCTCGCGAGTTCTTGCAGAGTCCTAAGTCGCCCTTCTTTGGTAGTTTCACGAGGTAACCTTTCCTCCAGTCAGTAGGCACCTTGTTTGTTCGACCTTAGACGTGTCAAAATTTGCATCACATTCGGAAAAGCGAATATAAAAGTATTGGGGAAAAGACACTGAGGTGAAGGTTCTCAGAATGTGAGTGATTGATGGATGGATGGATGGATGGTAGTAGGGACAGTGAAAAGAACTGCGTGATTTTCCTGGACAGTTTCTAGCCCCTGGCCATTGAAGTGGTCAAGATAATCAGCATCGTCTTACGTTTGATGGAGGCGAGTCACATCTGAAACACATGTATGCGGAAGACTATATATTCCATCAGCGTCTTTATCTAAAATGACAGTATTATCTGTGTAGTCCAGGTCAAAGAGACTCTTTTCTGGCAGCAAGATGATCCCTGAGACTCCAAAGTTGACTAACTTTACCTCTTTACTTTAGTCACGATGTCTTATAGATACCAGTGGTTACTGTTGTAACAACAGCAGACAAGGGCCAGGCAACAGATCGTTTACTAAGGAAATCAACGGATATTTATAGATTTTCATGTACATTATTATAGATTATTGTAAGCAAACAAACACAGTCTTCTGATTGATGGTTTCTCGTTGAACGTTAATCTTTCACTTATATATGTCCAAACTAAGTTCACTTTTAACAGTTTGAAAAAATTTGGGCGTTGGGTATATGATATTCATTATAATAAATGTTTCTTATTGTATTTCCCAATGAATGAAAAACAAAACGATATTGTTGTTTTTACTGACGTTTCGCCATTCAATGCTAATAGCTTTATCATTAAACCGGAATTTACAAAATCTCAGCATGTACATATAACAAAGAGTTAAGGGGAGGGAAAATAGACTTAGGTCAAGTTAAAAGGACATATTGAAAGTGAAAATAACAATGAAGATCACTAAACCAAATATCAAAGGTAATAGTGTAACAACAGAAGACAAGGACCAGGCAACAGATCGTTTATTAAGGAAATCAAAGCATATTTATATATTTTCATATACATTATTATAGATTATTAAAAAAAATTTTACCTGTTTATGATGGCCATGGCAGGGACAGGGGTTGAACGTATTTCTTTTGGATACAAAAGGTGGGTTTGAGTTTTTGGATAGCTAGCGCCTCAGCTATGCCCAAATGTCTCGATTTCACTCCCTTTGACAGGTTTGATTGAATCTTGTATATTACTTTGAAGGATTTTTCGAAAGGCGCTGAATGTCCTGAGTTGACCAGATGTTCTGTCACTGAACTGTATACGCGTTTTTGCTCTCCTTTTACCAGCCAGGCTGGGTAGTGTTCACGAGCGCGTTTTCCAAGTTGGCGCATGGTACGGCCGATGTACTCAGCTCCACAAGAGCAAGTAAAATGGTATATGCACGTTGAGGTGGCCCAATGCGACAACTTGTTCAACCAGAATGCGAAAGACAAGTTGTCGCATTGGGCCACCTCAACGTGCATATACCATTTTACTTGCTCTTGTG